AAAGAAAGAAAGAAAGAAAGAAAGAAAGAAAGAAAGAAAGAAAGAAAGAAAGAAAGAAAGGAGAGAGGGAGGGAGGGAGGGAGGGAGGAAGGGAGGGAAGGGAGGGAGGGAGGTAGGGAGGGGAACTTTAAAGTCGACCTGCAAACTACAGAGTTCCTAAGTTCTCTTTTTTCTCTATTTTCTTTTCTGCCTTCTTTAAATCTGCTCTTATTTTCCTATTAAGATAAAAACCACTGTTTGGATACAACAGGTCCTTTGTTTGCGAGCTGGTGAAGTTGTATTTGTCTCATGGCTAAAGTTCTGAAGTAAAAGCTATAGGATTTGTGTGTGTGTGTATGTGTGTGTGTGTGTATTTAAAAGGCCTTTATAATTTTTATAATTTTATGTTTAATTGGCAATTAAATCCATTTTAATTTCCCTCTAGCACCACCAGACTTTTTTCTCTCTGTACCTTATGTAATAAATTTTGTTATTTCATTTTTCCCTGAGTTGTTTCCTTTAATATGCAAACTTAAGGCTATTTAGCTGACAGCTCCATAGGGGAGTAAAACAGGTTATTGAGAATTTGAAAGTCTAAGATAGGGGAAAAAGCACCTTAAGAATCTATAAGAGGTACTTCTATCAGCATGCCTACTACGTCTATATATTTATGTGTTGTATACACAATGTCTCACTAACAAAAATATATGAAAGAGCTCTAATTAATTTACTTAAAAAAGCACTTGGATCAAATACTTTATCTGGAACAAAGAAAAGACTAGTTCAATGTTTTCTCAAGTTTATGTAACTTAAGTAAAATCTTTAATAAGTAAGCTAGCTTTAAAATTATTGATAAAGTAATATTAGACATGTCTTAAGAATTTCCAGCATGCATTTTTGTTTGCACTTATTAATCAAGCAATTTCAAGCTTATCCCTGTCAAATACTATAAGGTGTCAAAATTTGGCATGGGATCACAAAACTGTAATATAATGATCTTTGGTTATGTAATCTTTAATAAATTAGACATTGATATTGGTTTAATAAAAATAGTCACATCTTGAATTTAGTCAGATTGCTGTAACTTCTAATCTTGTGGCTTTTGGTGGTCTAGTCCACGGGCAGTAAGATTTGTTTTGGGAATGAACTGTTATAATCTTTGTTTCAAAGGTAAACTAGAAACTATGTTCCTCTCAAAGTATATTTGGCCTGTGCCCAGGATTGAACAAGAACAGCTCGGAGGATAGAAGCAAGATCGAATCAGTTAGGTCAGATCTTTTTCACTGTCTCAGTTATAATTTTCCTATGACAGCTCCATAACTTTAAATTATGACTATTGTAGTTTTCATAAATAATCTAGGTAAACAATTCCTTTTAAAAAGGTGAACAATTGTTGTCTAATTCAATGCCTATTTAAAGGTTATGTATAAAACAAGGTAAAAGGAACTAGGAAATAAGAGAGATGTAAAGAAAGTTATGAAAAAAAAGGGGGTAAAGAGGATTCATTTTGGTAAGAAAGCTTAAGAGAAATAATTTCATGTGAGAAAGAATCTTGTATGGTAAATTTAGACCTAGAATAAAATGACTGATTGTTTAAGAAAGATGGATGTTCAAAACAAACCAGAAAGTCCAAGCATATCATGAACGGTCTGTAAAAGTCACATTAAGAGGATTTATTTCAAAAAAAAAAACAAAACACCAAAAAACTTATATATGATCAAATTGTCTAAAATTAAAGGGAAATGATAATGGTCTTCCTGAAGATTGGGCTTGATGTTAAAAAAAAAAAACACTTACACACTACATAATTAGTAAGAGTGATGAGATTTTCTTAAGGGATTAATTTACTCAATAAATTATAGGAGATTTTAATTGTTTTAACCTAAAATTCAACTATTTACTTGCTCTTTTCTCTCCCCTTCAACTCGTTTTCAGCTCATAAAAGTTCTTTTCCTTAAGTTCTGTTTGTTGTGGCTTGATGCTAACAATGTTTTCTAAAAGTCTAAAGGAAATGTTTTCTTCCAATGTAATATTCTGTGCAGTGCAGAAGGTCTTTTTATTTGCTTTTTGGTAATTGACCTAACAGATTTTATGGTTTATTGAAACAATTCCTATGCCATTATTATAATTTTTGGTTTGCTTATGAAAAAGAAACTGAGATAATTTTTTAAAATTAAGGTTATTACATTCATGTATATTTCTGTATGCACTTTGAAAGTACCTGTGACATTGAGTTACAGGCCTTTGACTCCTGGGTCTAAAAAGGACACCAAGATCTGCTATATCTTAAACACTGACAGCAATTAAAACCTCATCTTCAGACCTGGTAGAAGATGCCAATGAAAATAAAAATAAACTGCATTCCTGAGACATAAGGCCAGAAATCAAAGCTATTCAACTCCTCAAGGCTCAGGAGCTACCACAGAAGAGGTAGGCACGTGAGATTGTAAGGGCTGATTTTGAGAGATAAAATAAGTTCAGTTTCTCTACAAATTAATAACTGAGGTCAACTTCACAACCTGCTAAAAATGAACTTTCCTAATAACTCAGGAATTATCTATCTAGAAATAAACAATCTTAGCCATGAGATATCAGATGAAACTTGAGACCAGAGACTGATTTTCTTCTAAAATGCTTTCTCCAAAAGATTTTTAAGAGGAAGAGTGGGGAAATGTGAAAGGAAAATAAACCTTGGGGCCCTGAAATCACCAACCTAAAGTGGAAAGTCAAGTTGGGAACTGCTTAGGGCAAACCTGGCTCCCATTCTATTCAAAGTCACCCCTCTGCTCACTGAGATAAATGCATATCTGATTGCCTCCTTTGGAAAGACTAATAAGAACCTCTAAAGAATGCAACCATTTGTCTCTTATCTACCTATGACCTGGAAGTCCCTCCCCACTTAGAGTGGTCCTGCCTTTTCGGGAGCAAACCAATGTTCATCTTACATATGTTGATTGATGTCTCATGTCTCCCTAAAAGGTATAAAACCCAGCCGTGCTCTGACCCGTTTGGGCACATGTCTTCAGAACCTCCTGAGGCTATGTCACAGGTGTACATCCCCAACCTTGGCAAAATACACTTTCTAAATTAACTGAGACCTGTCTCAGATTTTCGGGATTCACAAGGCCATACTGACTTGTCCCTTTTTTGAAGTCCAGCAGGCACCTTTCACAGCAGGCTCTTTTCACTTGCACCTTTGTGCATCAGCACCTAACTCTTTTGCAAGATAAGGAGCCCTACAGAACACCAGCAGACCACCAGAAGGTTACAAGTCCCTGATACCTGGTACAGCCTGGAAAGAGAGCAAAAGCCCTTTTTTCCTGATGCAGCTTCCCCAATCTCCAGCCAGTTTGCACCAAAAGCCCAAGAAACTCTTAACTACAAATTCCTTCCTGGGGTGGGGTATGTGGGAGGGTGGGCAGGGACTTCTCTGGGGTCCTGCATGCACAGCTAGGCTCGAGGTTCAGCTTATAGTAACCTTTCCCTCATTTTCATAGTAAAAACAACCACAACAAGAAAAACACCCCTAGGTGGAGATTTTATATGCTAATCATCCATGCGATCGGTGTTAGACCACATGGATACTGAGCACATGTGCCAACCGCAGGTCTGCTTTTGCATACTTGACCTCACCAGTATTTTATGATTACATATGTATAGCTCTCATGAAAGGAATTCCTCTTACAGCGCTAGATGCTGTCTCTCCTGCTGAGAAGCCCACTCTGTCTCTCAGACAGATATCAGATTACCGTGATATCCTAAGTTCTAAAATCATGGATGAACTTATAAACAGCAATACTGGGGGCTTTACCTATCCAAAAGCATTCCATATATCAAATTGAAACAGTGAAAAGCTTCTATTTTATTTTAGTTGATCTGTGACATTGGAGCAGTTTGGCACTATGAGTTCACACCTGAAGTCTTACTTTGGAATCATGCTTTGAGAATCCCCTTCTACTGCATTCCCACCTCACCCCCATGAATCAGAAAACTCAGTGAAAGTAATCACAAAAAATACAAAAAACAATAATAAAAGATTTCTACATGAAAAGTTTAATAAAATATATTTTGTGAACACAATAAAGAACTAATAAAATAGAAAAATGCTGGCAAACGTGATCAAACAGAAAGGCAAAGAGAGAGCAGGGAGAAAGCAGGAGAGCATGGGAGGCGGGGCCTCCTACCTTTGCAAGAGGAAAGAATGACTGAAAGGCTGACAGATAAATAATATGTTTGAAAGGGAGATAATGTCTACTTCAATGGGAAGGATACTCTATCGGCTCAAAATGATTTAAAAAATGAGGAATTTAGAGGATTGGAATAATTTCTTAGCTAGTGAATTACAAATTAATTCACATTTGGTGCCATGACTGGAAGAAAAAGAAAGCAAGGGAGGGAGTTTACAATGAACCAGAATGTTCTCACAGAGTCAGCGGGATGGTGATGGGCTCATTGGAAACAATCCTGCTGAATGACATCAACCCCACTCCATGTGTCCTCATAGCCAGCACAGAAGAAGGATTTACATCTGTGGGCCAGCAGTGAGGGGGAAGGTGAGCCAGGGCAGGGGGCTCAGCAGCAAGAGGAGGTGCAGCACAAGGGGCAAGAGGAGGTGCAGCACAAGGGGGCGGGGGCAGGTGGAGATGACAGGTTGGGCGAGCAGGCAAGTGGTGTGGCAGGAGACTCCGGCCACAGACTGACGCAGGCAGCAGCAGGGGCGGCAGCAGCTGGATTCACAGCAAGAGGGGCGGCAGCAAGTGGGCTGGCAGCACAGACTGGCAGCACTGGGCCTGCAGCAGCTGGACACACAGCAGCTGGGCGGCAGCAGCTGGACACACAGCAGCTGGGGCGGCAGCAGGTGGTCCTGCAGCAGGTGGTCTGACAGCAGCTGGGGCGGCAGCAGGTGGCTGGCAGCACAGACTGGCAAGCACTGGGGCCTGCAGCAGCTGGACACACAGCAGCTGGGGCGGCAGCAGGTGGTCCTGCAGCAGGTGGTCTGACAGCAGCTGGGGCTGCAGCAGGTGGGCTGGCAGCACACAGACTGGCAACACTGGGGCCTGCAGCAGCTGGACACACAGCAGCTGGGGCGGCAGCAGGTGGTCCTGCAGCAGGTGGTCTGACAGCAGCTGGGGCGGCAGCAGGTGGGCTGGCAAGGACACAGACTGGCAGCACTGGGGCCTGCAGCAGCTGGACACACAGCAGCTGGGGCGGCAGCAGGTGGTCCTGCAGCAGGTGGTCTGACAGCAGCTGGGCGGCAGGCAGGTGGCTGGCAGCACACAGACTGGCAACACTGGGGCCTGCAGCAGCTGGACACACAGCAGCTGGGGCGGCAGCAGGTCCTGCAGCAGGTGGTCTGATACAGCTGGGCTGCAGCAGGACTCCTGGCAGAGGTCTTGGCCACAGCCCTGTCAGAACACACAGAGCCACAACAGGAGTTGACCATGCAGTGTCAGAGGGTGTTGATCCATTTTTGACTTCCAAGATAGTGAAATTCTTGTGTTTGGAAGTCTCCTGGGTCCATATCCCCTTTATACCCTCCTGAAGGCCCACTTTCACCACGTCATTATATCCTTGTTATTATTTACCTGCTGGAAAAATTCATCATGTAATTACATAATTGTGTGTGTCTAGTTAAATACTCCAAAACTGAGAAAATAACCCATTTCCTTTTCCTGCTGTACTCCTGGGTTTCCTCTGGAAATGCTTTGGTCATATTTCTTCCTTAGTGGGGGTCACCTTGTCCCTGGTCTATGCTGTGTCTTTTACAAAGCCGCTTTTATCATCACAGGACTCTGACATTTTGTTTAATCGTGACTTTCCCTCCTACCTGTCGATCGCTGTCTGCAAATCATGGGGGACGCATTTTATAATGTGAATGTATCTTTTGTTGTCCAAGAATGTCCTGGTCAGGTGAAATATTGAAGGATTAGAAGGTAGGACTCATCTGGGGAAGGAAGTCCCATCTGTAATGAGGATGACTCTAATCCCGTGTGTGCATCTCGGAGGGTGGGGTAGATGGTCAGATCCCAACAAGTTCTAAACTCTTTGTCAGATCTTATTCCACAGCCTCCAGTGAAAGTATTCTACCCATGACTCACTGCCTTTAAAGGGTAAAAACACATTTTGCTGTATGTCTTACAGTGTAGGTATTAAGTGTAGGAAGTTTTGATTTACCTTTTTTTTTTGTTTTTGACAGAGTCTCACTCTGGAGTATAGTGGCATGATTTCGGCTCACTGCAGCCTCCACCTCCTGGGTTCAAGTGATTCTTCTGCCTCAGCCTTCCGAGTAGCTGGGACTGGCAGGTATGCCACCACACCCAGCTGACTTTTGTACTCTTAGTAGAGACAGGATTTCACCATGCTGGCCAAGATGGTCTGGATCTTTTGACCTCATGATCCACCCGCCTTGACTTCCCAAAGTGTTGGGATTGCAGGCGTGAGCCACCGTGCCCAGCCTGATTAATCTTTGATCATCAAAATTGCATGATGGGTTTTTCATTTACACAAGCATTTGTTATATATAAAGAATATTTAGAATTATTAAGCCTTCAATAACATGCATCCAAGCATGTTCTACTGCATTCTGGGTGTAGAACAGACAAACCCCTCTACCTTTTTCTTTGCATACTTGCATAAGACACTTGGATAGAAATGAAAAGAATTACAACTATTTTCATTAAATAACTAAAATAAAAATGTATAGTATGTGGATAAGTTCCATACACCCTCAGGGTATGTGAAGATTACTTGTGAAGTATTGATTATGTAGGAGGCATTGTATCAAATATCTTATATTTATTTCATTTTCACACTTTAATATGACCTTATGAACTAGTTTATATTCTCTTTTTAAATTTTTTTTTAATTTTTATTTATGTATTTATTTATTTATTATTATTATGCTTTAAGTTCTAGGGTACGTGTGCATAACGTGCAGGTTTGTTATATTATGTTTATTTGTGTTATGCTGGTGTGCTGCACCCATCAACTCAGCACCCATCAACTCATCATTTACATCAGACACACCCAATGCAATCCTCCTCCTCCCCATGATAGGCCCTGGTGTGATGTCCCCTTCCCGAGTCCAAGTGATTCCATTGTTCAGTTCCCACCTATCAGTGAGAACATGCGGTGTTTGGTTTTCTGTTCTTGTGATAATTTGCTAAGAATGATGGTTTCAGCTGCATCCATGTCCCTACAAAGGGCTGGCAAACTCATCCTTTTTTTTATGGCTGCATAGTATTCCATGGTGTATATGTGCCACATTTTCTTAATCCAGTCTGTCACTGATGGACATTTGGGTTGATTCCAAGTCTTTGCTATTGTGAATAGTGCCGCAATAAGCATACATGTGTATGTGCCTTATAGCAGGCCGATTTATAATCCTTTGGGTATATACCCAGTAATGGGATGGTTGGGTCACAGGTACTTCTAGTTCTAGATCCTTGAGGAATTGCCATACTGTTTTCCATAGTGGTTGAACTAGTTTACAATCCCACTCAACAGTGTAAAAGTGTTCCTATTTTCTCCACATCCTCTCCAGTACCTGTTGTTTCCCTGACTTTTGAATGATCGCCATTCTAACTGGTGTGAGATGGTATCTCATTGTGGTTTTGATTTGCATTTCTCTGATGGCCAGTGATGATGAGCATTTTTCATGTGTCTGTTGGCTGTATCAACTGAAAACTCTTTGAAAACCAGCAAAAGAGCCAGGATGCCTCTCACCACTCCTATTCAACATAGTGTTGGAAGTTCTGGCTAGGCAATCAGGCAAGAGAAAGAAATCAAGGGTATTCAGTTAGGAAAAGAAGAAGTCAAATTGTCTTTGCAGATGACATGATTGTACATTTAGAAACTCCATTGTCTCAGCCCAAAATCTCCTTAAGCGATAAGCAATCCCAGCAAAGTCTCAGGATACAAAATTAATGTGCAAAATCACAAGCATTCTTATACACCAGTAACAGACAAACACAGAGTCAAATCATGAATGAACTTCCATTCACAATTGCTTCAAAGAGAATAAAATACCTAGGAATCCAACTTACAAGGGATGTAAAGGACCGCCTAAGGAGAACTACAAACCACTGCTCAGTGAAATAAAAGAGGACACAAACAAATGGAAGAACATACTATGCCTGCGGATAGGAAGAATCAATATCGTGGAAATGGCCATACTGCCCGAGGTAATTTATGATTCAATGTCATCCCCATCAAGCTACCAATGAGCTTCTTCACAGAATTGGAAAAAATGGCTTTAAAGTTCATATGGAACCAAAAAGAGCCCGCATTGCCAAGATACAGTCCTAAGTCAAAAGAACAAAGCTGGAGTACTCACGCTACCTGACTTCAAACTATACAACAAGGCTACAGTAACTAAAACAGCATGGTACTGGTACCAAAACAGAGATATAGACTAAATGAAACAGAATCGAGTCCCTCAGAAATACACACACATCTACAGCCATCTGATCTTGACAAACCTGAGAGAACAAGAAATGGGAAAGGATCCTCTATTTAATAAATGGTGCTGGGAAAATTGGCTAGCCATAAGTAGAAAGCTGAAACTGGATCCTTTCCTTATTCCTTATATGAAAATTAATTCAAGATGGATTAGAGACTTAAAATGTTAGACCTAATAATTAATAAAACCTCTAGAGGAAAACCTAGGTAGTACCATTCAGGACATAGGCATAGGCAAAGACTTCATGTCTAAAACACCAAAAGCAACGGCAGCAAAAGCCAAAACTGACAAATGGGATCTAATTAAACTAAAGAGCTCTGCACAGCAAAAGAAACTACCATCAGAGTGAACAGGCAACCTACAGAATGGGAGAGGAAAATTTGCAATCTACTCATCTGACAAAGGGCCAATATCCAGAACCTACAAAGAACTCAAACAAATTTACAAGAAAAAACAAACAACCCCATCAAAAGTGGGCAAAGGATATGAACAGACATTTCTCAAAAAGAAGACATTCATATCAGCCAATAGTTTATATTCTTATTAGTCTTTAGGGGAATAGTCAAAAGAAGAATCAAAAGTTAAAGCAAACAAACAGAAAACTTGTCCAAGATTAAAAAGAAAGCTCTAATATGTCTTAGTAGCCAAGACAGCAAAGAAAGAATAAAATTTGCTAAGCTTGCTGGAACTGTTTTATCTTTGGAATACTTCCATCTTTTTATCCACCTGCACACCCTACCCATGTGTCAAGACCCAGTTAAAATATTTCCTCCTCAATAATATCTTTCTGATAAGCCAACCCATCCATGCATCATTCTTCCTGCCTTGTGCTCATAATTTGATACACTCTACTGCATCATGTCATTTACTTCCTGTCATTCCACCATGTGCAATGCAACACCCTGGAAGGCATGGGCTATGGCATTTATTTTTGTTACTATGATATCACAGTACAGAGAACACTGGTGGTAAATATTTGTAGAGTGAATGAAGGCTTTTTGATGACATAAAGTCATATACGGTCCTTTAAAAATGTACATATCTTTTGACTTCTGGATAAAAGAGAGGAAAACATTCCAAACAAAGAGATCATAGTTTCATTTCAGGAAGACTAAACTCATTTGATGGTAGTAACATGTCACCTGATAAACAACCTATGTGAAAGTTGGGAAGTTAACAGTCAATTTGTAGAATGAGACTTGTTTATAGATAACCAGGACTACAGTGTTTAACATGCATGCCTATATTCACACAGTAAAAAGACAGGAAGGAGGTAAACCTCAAATGGTAGGACTGATTCTCCTTTACCTCCTGACTTCATTTTACTTCTATTGATTGAAATAACTATTATTTCCAGTTTGATATCAGTCAGCCAAAAATATTTGCTGATCATCTGTTGTCTTAGTTTTAAATTCTACCTAATGCAAACCTGAGAAAAGACTTGGTGCACATAATTTATCTGGGGGATGATCCCAGGAAGCACAAGTAAGGAAATGGTGACAGTAAGACAGAAAGAAAATCCTAAGAATGTTTGTAGCATGGTGGGCCCCACTGTGGGCAGCTCGGGATGAACTCCCGGGAAAGGCCTGAAGCTGGAGGCACTTGGCCACCAAGGATTGCACACCTACAAAATCCTGGAGAGTCAGCTGGGTATTAGTATTAATCATGAGATCAGATAAAATATGAACTTATACTTTAACCTGTAGACTTTTAGAGTACACTAGCAATAATTTTCTAAAATTTAATGGAGAGAAATCATACACCGGGGCCTATTGTGGTGTGTGCATGTGGGGAGGGATAGCATTAGGAGATATACCAATGTAAATGATTTGTTAATGGGTGCAGCACACCAACATGGCACATGTATACATATGTAACTAACCTGTACGCAGTACATGTACCAGAACTTCAAATATAATAAAGAAAAAGAAAATGTGCTCACAATTCTCAAGAGTAAATAGAAAAATATGTAAGTAAACTAA